ATGGGCCAGACCTACTCAGGGAGCCCAAATGCAACCAGTGTGACTGAGGACCGTGAGGATAGATTGGGGAGGTGGGACTTCCCCAAATGGGATTGCACTAGATCACGTGGCATTTCGGATTTTAAATTTTATTCTAAAAACACTGAGTGGCATTGAAAAGGTTTAAGGAAGGGTTGTCATGATCGGATTGATGGTTAAAATGCCCACGCTCCAAGCTGAATAAGGAAAGATATTGGAAGAGGTCAAACAAGGAAGTGGGGAGCATTTGAGAGACGATGGCGGAAATCCAGGTCAGGACGATGTCAGCTCAGACTAGAGTGGCGGCAATCACTGGAGAGATCAAGGGGAAGGGCAGATATGTTTTTGAAGTATTTTCATTAGATAGATCTCAGGTGACATGCAGAATTTGCACTTATCTATATTGTGAAAAAATTACAAATACAAAGCAAACAAAAGCCCCCGATTACACCTTCTAAAATTCTAACGGTGAAACATACTTTACCCGGAAAATCAGGCCTTCTCACCGCAGATCTTGCATGTTGACAGTAATTGTCTTTTATTCCTGGAAAGTCTTTGGGAGTCTGATTTGCTGCTTTCATGCAAATTGCAAAATAACGATGTACTTATTTGTACAACAAATAGAACACTTACTATATGCTAGGAAGAGTTAGGGGGCTGGGGAGACAGCAGGGAGCAAACGAGCTAGATCTCTGCTCAAAGAGCTGATATTCTAGTAAAACTTACGCTCCTGCGTATTCTTTTAACCAAAATAAAAAAGGAATGATATATTTCTTAATACTTTAGTTTGACATAGAAATTTTTAATGAGAAAGCCTCCAAAGCTTCTGTTACAAAATATTTAAAAAGGAAATAAATTAATAAACAAACAACGTACTGGGAAAGCATTTTCCATCCAACTAACCAAAGAATAATTTTCTTACCATATAAATAGTTTGCACAAATCATTAAATAAAACACATCTCCTAATAGAAAAAAAGATTTTAAGAACATGAAATACTGTAAAAATAGAGAATACAAATGGCTTCCAAAATACTGACTTCAGTAGTAATAAAAGAAATGCCATTTAAATCAGCCAGATGGTATTTATTCCTCTAACATTAGCAAGGATTTTCTTTATTTTGTTGTTAATCCTCATGGAGGATATTTTCACACGGACTTTCAGGTAAAGGGGAAGGGAGGAAGAAAGAAACATCAGTGTGAGAGAGACACATCGACTGGTTGCCCCCTCACGACCCTGACCAGTCCATGGGCCAACGCTCTAACCACCGTGCAAAACCACCCAGGGCAGATTTTTCTTTTTTAATCGTAATACTTAGTGGTCAATGGTGTGGCTGATCCAATAATGTAAATTGTTACCACTTCTCTGGAAAGCGGTTTGTCAATATGTATGATATTGACAAATGTTAAATCTTTTTAGTTAATTCTATTTCTAGGGATATAATCTAAAACAATCCGTGATATATCAACAAAGATTTCCGCTGTACATACAAGGGTAAAGGGTTCAAGGTAAGGCACATGCATTGAATTTGGGAGGTTAGAATACTGACTTGTGACCTGAGTGGTAACTAGGTTTTTCAGAGCCTCTGGAGGTCTCGATTTGACTCTTATGTGAACGGACCGAGTAGTCTCAGCAGAGAACTGCATCATACATGTTGGAATCTCCATCTATTTCCTGGTAGAGAGAAGACATTCTATTGATTTAGAACCCCAACAGGACTGCAGTGCTTAGAATTCCCTTGCTCTTTGGCCTTCAGAGAGCTGCACAAGCTTCTTTTAGTCAACAGTCAGGTCAGAGCCCAAACATACCTGCCAGAAGCTACCATCTCCAGTCCTCTCTTCTACTGGTTTTGCCTTCCAGTTCCATCCCAGATTTCAGAACCCCAACACACACACACACACACACACACACACACACACACACACACACGGGGTGGGGAGGTAGGGAGAAATAAAACACCAGTGAATTTGAAATCAATCAATAATAATAATTGGTAATGCCTATATAGTATATATGTCAGACACTGTGTTTTATATATATTAACTAATTCAATACTTACAATAATAATAAAATAAGCTAACAGTATCATGTAGTAGATATTATGATTTCAATTTTACAGATGAAGAAACAGAGGCACAGTGATTTGACCAAGGTCATACAGCTAGTATATGGCAGAGATGAGAATTTTGTGTTAGCATTCTGGGCCCAGAATCCAGTTATTTAAATCACCATATCATCTTCTTAATCAAATAACTGGAGTTCATGTCCTTAGTCTCTCACTTACCAGCTGGTAACCAGGATAAAGCCTAGGTTTACTACTGTGAAATGGGCATAGGAATGCCAATTGCACTGAAGTGTTGTGATGATGGAGTAAGATGATGTATGTGAAGTTCCTGCCCTGTCATAAACATCCAAATGCTTATGACATTATCATTCATAAGTACATTATTGTTCCATGAGAGTCTGTACATCAACTGCCATAATATTTAACTACCATTTGAAAATGCATTGCATAGACAAAGCTGTACTCTCTTGCAACATTCTGAGCCCATTTCTTGTGTTGCAGCATTTGATGGTCATGTAGCTTACCAAAGAGTTCTTATCCTCACTTCTTCATCGAATTGCCCATACCACCTGTCTGACCTGGGCACCTGATGACTACACCAGGTCTCTGTCAGTTGTGAAGTCCACAGCAGTGAGTTTGACCAAACTGTCTGCGGCTGCCTGTTACAGTGGGGGGAGTAGCAACTGAGGTTGGGTACAGAGCAGCTCATAGTACACTCCAATACAGAACACCATGGGGCTCTGGGTGAAGAATTTAGAAGTGGCTTGCTTTCTTGTTTTATTCTATGATCTGGCTTTTAAGGAATGGCTGTGGTATAGAATTTTATGACAACCACAAGAATGCAGTTATAAGCACATCTGGATCCACCTTCTCACTTGCACGGTCACTATGTGCTCATTTTGATCCTGCAGAGTAAGCATTCTAAGAAAAAGAAAAATAGGTACCTCATATACGCCCAACTATAAGTGGAAATAGAAACATTTTTCTTGGGGAACTCACTGTACAATTTTTAACAAGCTTTTGTGTTTACTCATGCAAAATATACATCTGCTGGTTTTCTTCATTTTCTTCTTCTTCTTCTTTTAATGATATGAACTAACTTTATTCTTAACTCTTTCGCTATCTTCTACTTCTTGTGTTTTAGTGCTGTGCAGGTCTGGGTGTATTTAGACCCAGCTGCACACCTGGCTCTACTGCTGGCTGTGAACGTTTGAACCGGTTGTTTACCCTGTGAGCCTAGATTTCCTCATCTGTAAAAATGAGGAAAGAATCAAGGTTGACTTCAATTTTTGGCTTCAATTATGTGGTTGTGATGAAACCACAAGAATGCATGAAAATTTGAGGTGGGGGAACAATTATTTTCGTTTGGACCACGTTTCTTGAGTCGTTTCTTGAAACATTGTGGTAGTGCAGCCAGATGCTATTGAAATTTAGACATGAAACAGCATTAAGAAAGAGGTTGTCCATGGAGAACACATTGAGTAGGAAGAGAAGTTCAAGAATAGAATCCCAGAAGCCCCAACAATTGAAAAGAATGGCCAGCTAAAGGGGCAGGAAAGGAAAGAAAGCGTGGTGTTATTGAGGTCAAGAGATGAGAGGATGTCAAGAAAGAAGTAGTTGGCAAAGATATCAAATATCTTAGTGAACAGTGAAGTAAGTCCTGAAGTCTACTGGACTATGCCATGCAAGCAGATAGAAAATAATATTGGATTTTGTTAAGAGCAATTTTAGAGGGCCTATGAAGGTTGCAGCAGATGAAAGAGTGGAGAATGAGTGGCTAGTAAGAAAGTAAAGAAATTAATTCAGGTTATTATTTCCTGACATTTGGCTCTAAATAGAATGCAGGAGACTGTGTAGTCACCAGAAAGAGAAGTCTGTTTCCCCCAATAATGGTGGTGGCTTTTCCATATTATGATTTAAGGAAAAGAGTCATTGGAGAGGAAGACAATGAAGACAAAGGTAGAAGAGAGGTTATAGAGAGATGTCAATTAGAGGAGATTGGTCAAGAATACATGTTCAGTCCTGGCCGGAGTGGCTCAGTTGTTTGGGTGTTATCCTGTACACGGAAAGATTGTTGGTTCAATTCCCTGCCAGGGCACATGTTGGGTTGTAGGCTCAGTCCCCAGAAGGGTGTGTGCAGGAGACAGCTGACTGCTGTTTAGCTCTCACATAGATGTTTCTCTGTCTCTCCTCCTTCTCCCTCTCCTTTCCTCTCTCTCTAAAAATTAATAATATATATATATTATTAAAAAATATATATGTATTTTGGCACAAGTAAAATAAAAGATTCAAATTTATTATATCTAAGAGGAATTATGGGCTGTAAATAGTCTCAAAAGATAAAAATAGTTTGCATTTATTCAACACACATTTATTGACCATGCTAGGTGCTTGGGAACGTGATAGTGAGCAACACAGATTAGTGAGTTCTTGCCCTCAGAACTTATACTTCAGTAGTATGATGTAATGTACAGTGGGTTACACTGGGAAGTAATACGAAGATGCAATAAGTGGAAGAACTAGTATAATGAGATCTGCAGAAGGAGCAGTCAATGGCAAAAGAGCAGTTAAGACTTCACAACAGGAAGTGCAAAAGGCCCCGGGGCTAGGAGCACCTGCTGTTTACTGGAATCAACCTAGAACACTGGGAGGTGGGGGAATTTTTAGTACAGAGGGTGGGAGATACATGGAAGGTATGATCCAATTTATTCATATAGAATTTGAGAAACAGTTGTCAGAGGAGATGTAGGAGAAGTGAGATAAGAAGAGGAAGGCAGTAAACACCCAGTTAGGCTAAACAGGTAAGGACTGTTGAGGATAGAAGTTTGCAGACCAGAGAGACATGAGAGACCTTGGGCTAGAGATATGTGGCTTTTACAGGTCTGGTTCTGATTCCTGGCTTAGAAAATGGTTATTCTTATGAAGATAGAGAAGATATTGAAGTAGGACTTGACCTATGGTCTCTATTTCCTTGAACAGAGCACAAGGTTTGTTTTCAGTCCTGAAGTAGCTCAATTTCTTCTTTCAGCTGCTGCCGTTTTTCTTCAAATTGATGGAAGTTATTCTCTAATGCTTCTTGAAAATGTACAAGTGCATCTTCAAATAATCTACAGTCAAAAAGTGAAGTCCTAAATTCTTCATAGTCTGATTCTGAAGTAGTCTCATCCATGAGTCTGTCTTGCATCAAATTAAGTTTGTATAATATTTCTTCAAACAAATCATTAAGAAGTCCTGCTTCCTTATATTTCTTAAGAAAAGCAACTTTCACACCTGCACCTCACATCTGTGTGTCTGACATCCTCCCATTTCATTGGTTTTATGGACCTATTTAACATCATTGGTTCAGGTAGCTGTACAGAATTTCTTGTTGAGAGACCTTTTTTCCTTTCTCTTTTTCTTTTCACTCCTGAAAAATGAGCTTGTCTTGGTGTAGTATTCTGAGTGTAGTGAGGATGGAAGACATGAGACAAAGGCATTACTGACAGTGGGCTAGATTGAATTCCTTTTGATGGATCATGTTGTTGGCAAAACACCTTATAAATTCCTCCAGATTCAGTGTGTAGAACGGCATGGTCATTCTTGGCACAGAAAAAGTGGTCATTCTTGGCACTGGTTTTTTCATCACATTCCATGGTGGCTCCTCTTTTATGACAAAATGTGCATTTCAACCTCCTTCCTCTAAAGATTTCTTTCTTTACTACTTCCATATCAAAACTTCTATAATAATTTTTTGAATCATCATTTTCATATTCCACCAGTGCTGCAGAATACAGCAAGCAATTTTCATGAGCAGCTATTTCCTCTGATGGTGCACAGTACAGGATACCACACTCGAGGTCTTTGGGACAAAGGGCACATGTCTTTCCAGCTTCAAGAAAGACACCGGTGCAGGGGAGCAATGCATCGGGTGCCTCTGACTCATCGGTGTTGCAGGCCAACTGTGACCTGGACGGCTGTGCCGGCACTGGTGCTGGGTCCATGACTGGCTGCATGGCTGGGTCCACTGCCAGATCCATGACTGAGTTCTTGCTCAATAAAAAAAATTGTTAAAAATACATGTTCAAATTCCAAAATGGCAGTAGAGTAAATGGAAGCTACAAAGACTGTCTCCCAGGACCAAACTGGAATTACAAATAAAATAAAGACAAATCGTCAGGAAAAAGCAACAAAAAAGCAGCTTGTGAGGATCATATAACCAGAGACACTGACTCGATCCTGGTAGGATTGTGGAGGTGCGAGAGGGGGGCTGGGAGCTCATGGTGGGCAGTGGCCTTAGCTGTGAGCAGCGCCCTCCGGGTTAAAGTCCCAAGCAGCTCCACAGCTCAGAGCCAGGACAGCCACTCACCTTGGGTGACAGCAGAGGGAGGGCGACTGGACTGGAACTGTGTGGGGACACTCAGGATTTGGAGAGGGCTCAGAGCTTTTGCTGAGTTGCGGCCACGCACGACAGTGGCCATCTTACTCCTTCCCAGGGTTCTGGGGAGAGGTGGCGGGCCCCTCTCTCAGAGATTCAACCCCACCCAGTGGGCCATTGAAATGCAAATTGGGGCTCATTAACAACCAGAATTTGCCCCTACCCTTGGGAAATCCCCTTATGCTGAGCACCTGAGGGAGTTTTTCATTCAACTGAGAACCCAACGCTCTTCAAGTAACTGCTACTGATAGCCTCCAGGCAAAATGCTAGAGGATAACTGAGCCATTCCTGGACTAGCAACTCTAACCAGAAAAGACTTGACAGTGGGGTTTAACGTGGGTCCTCCCTGGCTCATCCAAACTCAGGAGAGGGAGCCACAAACAGCAGAACACCAACACCCACAGGGAAAATTGGCAGGTTCGAAAGCCCACTGTGAAAGCCAAAATGGTGAAACAAAGAAACAAATGACAAATGAAAAAACAAGAGACCTCTACTGAAGATGAGATAAATGAGGTGCAGTTAAGCAAGTTAACAGAACTAGAATTCAGAGCCATGATCTTGAGGAAGCTGAACAGTATGAGTAAGGACATCAACACCATGAGTAAAGACATAGAAATGTTGAAAATCAACCAATTGGAAATTAAAAACCACCAAGAAGAAATGAAGAATAACATATCAGAAATAAAGAACACATTGGAAGGTCTAAACATCAGAGTAGAGGAAGCTGAGGACCAGATCAGTGAATTAGAAGACAGGGTATAAAAAATCACCCAGTCAGAAAACCAAAAGGAAAAACAATGAAAAAACAGGAAGACAGCTTAAGACAACTGTGGGACAACTGAAAACGTAATAATATTCGCATCACAGGAGTCGCTGAAGAAGAAAATGATCAAGGGTTAGAGAATATATTTGAAGAAATAGTGACAGAAACTTCTCTAATTTGGTGAAGAAATAAGGCATTCAAGTTCAAAAAGCACAGAGAGCCTCAAGTAAGAAGAACCCAAACAGGCCCACACCAAGACACATAGTAATTAAACTGCCAAAAATTAAAGACAAAGAGAGAATCCTAGAAGCAGCAAGAGATAAGCAACAGGCTACCTACAAAGGAAACCCCATAAGGCTCTCAACTGACTTCTCACAAGAAACACTACAGGCCAGAGGGAATGGCATGAAGTAATCAAGGTCATGAAAAACAAGGATCTGAATCCAAGACTACTCTACCCAGCAAGGCTGTCATTCAAAGTAGAAGGTCAAATAAAGAGCTTCATAGACAAAAAAAAAAGGCTAAGGGAATACATTAGCACTAAACCAGCACTGCAAGAAATGTTAAAAGGACTGCTGTAATTAGGAGAAATGGGAAAAAAAATAGAACCACACTAAAGAAAAATGGCAATAAATAAGTACATATCAATAGTCACCTTAATTGTAAATGGATTGAATGCTCTGATAAAAAGACACAGAGTAGCTGATTGGATAAGAAAGCATGACTCATCTATATGTTGATTACAAGAGACCCACCTTACAACAAAAGACTCACATAGGTTGAAAGTGAAGGGATGGAAAAAACTCTTCCAAGCAAACAGAAAGGAAAATAAAGCTGGGTAGCAATACTCATATCTGATAAAATAGATTTCAAAATGAAGGCCATAACTAGAGACAAAGAAGGCCACTACATAATATTGAAAGGATCTATTCAACAGGAAGATATAACCTTGATAAACATATATGAACCCAATATAGGAGCACCAAAATATATTAAAAATCTTCTGGAGGACTTCAAAGGAGAAATCAATAGCAATACAATCATAGCAGGGGACTTCAACACCCTGCTGACATCACTGGATAGATCCTCTAGACAAAAATTAGCAAGGAAACAGACTCTTAATGAAGCACAAGACCAAATTGATTTAATAGATATCTACAGAGAACTACACCCCAAAACTACAGAATTCACATTCTTCTCAAGTGCACATGGGACATTCTCAAAGATAGACTACATATTAGGACACAAACTAAGTCTCTACAAGTTCAAGAAGATTGAAATCATATCAAGCATCTTCTAAGATCACAATGGCATGAAACTAGAAATCAGTTGCGAAAAGAACATGCAAAGACATTTGAATGCATGGAGGCTAAATAGCATGTTATTAAACAATGAATGGGTTACTGAGGGGATCAAGGAAAAAACTTAAAAACTTCCTGGAAACCAATGAAAATGAACACACAACAACACAAAATCTATGGGATGCAGTGAAAGCAGTTCTGAGAGGGAAGTTCATAGCACTACAGGCCTACCTCAAGAAACAAGAAAAATTTCTAATAGATTATCTAACCGCACAACGTAAAAAAACTAGAGAGCAAACGAAAAGAAAACCCCAGAGCAAGTAGAAGGAAGGAAATAGTGAAGGTCAGAGCAGAAATAAATGATATAGAGACCAAAAAAACAATTCAAAGGATCAATGAAACAAAGAGCTGTTTTTTCAAAAAGACTGATGGACCCTAAGCTAGACTCACCAAGAAACAAAGAGAGAGAACCCAAATACACAAGATCGGAAATGAAAGAGGCGAAGTAACAACTGACACCACAAAAATACAAAAGATCATTAACAACTACTATGGACAATTATATGGCAACAAATTTGGCAATCTAAACGAAATAGACTGGGAAAAGATAGAAAACTTGAACAAACCAATAACAACTAAGAAAATTGAGGATGTAATCCAGACTCTCCCAGCAAACAAAAGCCCAGGCCCAGATGGCTTCATGGGGGAGTTTTACCGAACATTCAAAGAAGAACTAACACCCATTCTCCTCAAACTATTTCAAAAAATTCAAGAAGAAGGAAGACTTCCAAATTCATTTTATGAAGCCAGCATAATTCTAATTCCAAAACCAGAAAAAGCCACTACAAAGAAAGAAAACTACAGGCCAATATCCCCGACGAACATAGACACCAAAATCCTGAAAAAAATACTAGCAAATCGGATCCAGCAATACACCAAAAAAATTATGCACCATGACCAAGTGGGATTCATCCCAGGGATGCAAGGCTGGTACAATATTTGCAAATCAATAAATGTGATACACCACATAAATAAAATGAAGAATAAATACCACATGATCATATCAATAGATGCTGAAAAAGCATTTGACAAAATCCAGCATCCATTTCTGATAAAAACGCTCAGCAATGTGGGAATAGAGGGATCATATCTAGACATAATAAAGGCCATATATGAAAGACCTACAGCCAACATCATACTCAATGGGCAGAAACTAAAAGCATTTTTCTTAAGAACAGGAACAAGACAGGGATGCCCACTTTCACCACTCTTATTTAACATAGGACTGGAAGTCTTAGCCACAGCAATCAGACATGAAGAGAAAATAAAAGGGATCCAAATTGGAAAGGAGGAATAAAACTGTCATTATTTGCAAATGGCATAATATTATACATAGAAAACCATAAAGACTCCATAAAAAATTTACTAGACTTAATAAATAAATTTGGAAAAGTAGCAGGATACATAATTAATGTCAAGAAATTGATGGCATTCTTATACACCAATGATGAACTCACAGAAAGAGAAACTGAAAAAACAATCCCATTTACCATCGTGGCAAAAAAATTAAGATACCTAGGAATAAACTTAACCAAAGAAGAAAAGGACCTATTTGCAGAAAACTACAGGACATTGTGAAAAGAAATACAGGAAGATATAAAAAAGTGGAACCACATACCCTGTTCATGGATTGGAAGAATTAACATCATTAAAATGTCCATATTACCCAAAGCAATCTGTAGATTCAATGCAATCTCTATCAAAATACCAATGACATATTTCACAGAACTAGAACAAATACTTCAAAAGTTCATATGGAACCAAAAAAGACCCCGAATAGCCACAGCAATCTTGAAAGAGAAGAATAAAGTAGGTGGGATCACAATACCAGATATCAGGTTATACTACAAAGCCACTGTAATCAAAACAGCCTGGTACTGGCACAAGAACAGCATATAAACCAGTGGAACAGAACAGAGAACCCAGAAATGGACCCAAGGCAATATACTCAATTAATATTTGACAAAGGAGGCAAGAGCATTCAATGGAGTAAAGACAGCCTCTTTAATAAGTGGTGTTGGGAAAATTGGACAGCTACATGCAAAAAAATGAAACTAGACCATCAACTTACACCCTAGACAAGAATAAACTCAAAATGGATAAAAGACTTAAATGTGACTTGTGAAGCCATAAAAATCCTAGAAGAAACTGTAGGCAACAAAATTTCAGACATCATACGCAGCATAATTTTCACTGATACATCAACTAAGCAACAGAAACAAAGGAAAAAATGAACACATGGGACTACAGCAAACTAAAAAGCTTCTGCACAGCAAAAGAAACAACCATCAAAATGAAAAGGCAACCCACTGTATGGGAGAGCATAATTGCCAATGATACATCAGATAAGGGGTTAATTTCCAATATATATAGAGTACTCATACAACTCAACAAAAGAAGACAAAGAACCTAATTAAAAAATGGGCAGAGGAGCTGAATAGACACCTCTCCAAACAGGACATACAAATTGCCAAGAGA